CTAGGTAGAATATAACACCAGCCTATAAACCAAGACTAAGAGTGAGGCAGAGCCATTGTTCAAGAAGGCTAGAAGTAAGCAAAATAAATATGTCCCTTTATTGAAAGTAGGCAAGGTAATGACTTGATCTCAGAGACCATGCAGGAGAAATTCAGTTACTAAAGTTACAAAAAAAGGTTAGTTATTCTTCTAACTGTCCTTTGGGACTGGGTTGGTCAGGGGAGATGTAGCTTGGTGGTAGAGCGCTTAGCATGCATGAGGCTGTAGGCTTTGTCAATAGTGAAGCTTCTAAGCATTGCTGAGAGTCTTGAAAGGGAAGTGCTAAGAGGACCACTACTGGGCAGGAACCAATCCTTTGACAGGTCTACAATGGGACAGACAGTACCTTTACCTTACTCTTAATTTACAGAATCCTAAAGACATATCACATCACCAGTAACTCAAACTCAGCTAGGTGCAGTGGCTCACATCTATAATCCAAGTGACTTGGGAGGCAGAGATCTGGAGGACATGGTTTGAGGCCAATCTGCGTGAAAAACCTAAGACCCTATCTGAAAAATAACTAAAAGCAAAAAAGGACAGAGGGTGTGACAGAAGTGATAAGAGTGCCTGCCTTGAACTCCAGGACAGCCAGGACAGCTAAGGGCCTGAGTGTGTCTACGTGTATGTAAATGAGATGGAGAACAAGAGAGCATAATTGTGTTTCTTATTTTGCTAGCTTAATAAGTTATACTAATAAGATTAGCTATGGTGTAGGCTGGGGATGTAGCACAGTGGCAGAGTTCTTCCCTACCATGTGTGGGGCCCTGGCACAATCTTCACCCCTCAAAATTTTTGACCTCAAAATTTTTGACCTAAAAATTTTTGATCATGAGCTGCATCTATCAGAACCTTTTAGTTCTGGTTGGGTTCGATGTCACATCTTCTAAGGGTAAGCAGCTTCATATGAATTCCCATGAGAATACAATTTTTTTCTTATTGACTCCCATACAATATGAGATAAACTCATATCTAATAGTCCTACAAGACCCAAACAAAAAGAGGGATGCAAAGTTAGAAAATAAAAACATCTTCATTCCTAAAAACTCTTTAAGAGCTATTACTAGATGACTTGAAGGATAATAGGTTTTACATTTTTTTAATTGGATTATATTGCAAAATAAATGCAGTCTCATTTGCTTCTTTTCTGTAATCTACTTTTTACTTACAAGAAGACAAGTCTGTCTTGGTTGCCCTATCTGATGGGTCACTTGCTGTGGAAGAAGCCAGTTGCTGTATCATGAGGATGCTGAAGCATCCTGCCGAGAGGTCCACATTCTGAGGAGCTGATGTCTTTTTCCAACAACCAAATAGGAGTGGAAGACTCCAGCCAACAGTGCTGGGGGTGAGCTGTCGTCAACCAGATCCATGGTCCATGGTCAAGACCGCAGATGACTGCACTGAGCCTACCTCTTGACAGTGGCCTCGTGAGAGACTGAGCCAGAACCACTCAGCTAAGCTGCTCATGGATTCTTGACAATCAGGAACTGTGTGAGATACTAAGTGTTTAAGCTGCTAAATTTGTTATGCAGCAATACATAAGTAGTACAATGCCTATATAAATATAATCTTTCTTTTGTATGCCTATGAAAGCTAAACAAAAATGAAGATAAGAGAAGCAGAGAAAAGTAAATTATGTTTTCGCCCACTGTTTGCTTTTCTTAGTCTAGATTCTTTTAAACTGAGGCCTGTAGGCAAATTCTTATTCAGCACTCTAAGCTAATTTTGATGGTTATAAGGAAGGAGTTTAGCTCTAGTTATAAGGATATATATCTTCTTTGCACTGGAGGATCAACTTCTGAGAAGACAAATCATATTTTTCCAGTCTAGTTTCTTTTTTTAAAGAGAATGATAGGGAGGCCCCACCTCTCTCTGGTTGAGATTTAAAGTTTCATTTATCATTATTATTATTATTTTAACCTAATATTACTAGTTTAAATAATGTAAAGTATGATTTGATTTCCTTCTTAGTTTTTGTTTTGGAAGTAAGAGAAATAAGAAAATATTTCTTTTAGCCTCTCTTTATTTCTCTTTCCATCTTACAATCATTTTCAGTAACTTCAACAATAAACAGTAAAAATGATTGCATATACAAGGAGTTGCTTAAGTGAATCCATCATGTACCTGTGCCCAAGAATGGTTTCCTAAATAGAGGAAGTGTGTTTCATACAAAAAGTCCATTTTCTGATATTGCCTTTTTTATTTGGACTACTGGATGCTCTATATTTTAGGGCAATGTTAATAGTTTCCTGTCTCTCACTAACAAGAATGACTTGTCATAATGAGCAGTATAGACACTGCCTTGATCCACTCCAGAAAGCTGTCTACTTGGTACAAGAGTAAGTCACCTCAGATTCTTGGTCGAATGAATGGAGTATAAATAAACAAATGAGGCAAGAACTTAAAAAAAAGGTGGTCAGTTCTATCAGAAGACAGCAGAGGATTGGGACATTTAGAGGCCTGATTTAATAAAAGAAAATGTGACAAGACAAAGAATTATATGTGATAACTGTAAAGGGAGGAAGAATTCACTATAATAAAATGTTCATAAAATAGTTTCTTCTTTAGGAAAGTAGATAATTTTATAGATTAAGAATAATAGGGGTTGGGGACATTGCTCAAGTAGTAGTGTTTGCCTAGCAAGCATGAGGCCCTGGGTTCAAACTCCAGTACCACCAAAAAGAAAAACCAACCCCCCCCCAAAAAAAAACAGCAGTTAGCTTGGCACTGGTGGCTCATGTTTGTAACCCTAGGTTCTTGGGAGGCTGAGGTTGGGAGGATTGCAGATCAAGGACAGTCCAGTCAAATAGCTTTAGAGACCCCCATCTCCAAAATAACCAGAGCAAAATGGACTGGAGGTGTGGCTTCAGGAGGCTTGCAAGGTGAAGCCCTGAGTTCAAACCCCAACCTTCCCCAAAACTGTATTCTTTGAATTCATAACACCTACTTTGTAAAATAACCCTTTATTCACCTTTAACTCCACCAAAAAGAATTCTAATTTTCAGCTTTCTTTTCATAATTCATCACATTTTTACGTCTAGGTAGGAATTTCAGATTCCATTTTGGGATATGGGTTTGTTTTTGGGGAGGGGTGTGTCTTTCGTTATCATTTTGCATGTTTTACTTCAATTACAAAGTCTGTTTTGCAAGGTAAGACATGGACACCTTAATGTTCTAATTTTTCCTTTTTCAGTTAGTGTTTGGTATTATCTCTTAGGGAGTAACATAAAAATAGCATACTGCATTTGACCACTGTTTACTAGTACTGTTTAAAAAAATTTCTTTGTTTGGTGCTGGGGTTGAACCCAGAGCCTTGCACATGCTAAACGCATGCTCTGAGCTACATCCCGAGCCCCTGAACTTTTTTGTGAAATAATAGTCATTATTCTGTATTAGGCTTGGGGTTCCAGCTGGAGATACAAGATAACTTATTACAAAATTTGTGTTCTATAGGAGCTGGAAAGTAGCAGTAAAGTGAGTCTCAAAATGAAATCTCAGGACGGTTTGCATTCACTTACAGGGCTTGTTAAGAAGACCGAATTAGCGTCTCTGGGAGTAGAGCTTGAGAAGTCACAAGTAATAGGTTCTCTCTGTAATTCTAATGCTAAAGTGTAATAATTCTAATTCTAAAACTAAAATGTAAGGCCCATTGGTCTAGAGAAGGTTGGAGGGTATAGGAATAAACTGTATTTCCATCGGAGCCACCAAACAATGTTCAAAGCCCAGCAGCAATATCTAGGAAAGATAATAGATGATAGTCACTGTCCCTCCCAAGGGAATGTAGGCAAAATGACATTCCTGTGAGGTTTTGAACATGATGTGCCTTGCCAAGCAGAGATAGAGGCTACGGCTTGGGGCATTCCAGAGGCTACTGTTTCCAAGCATTTTTTAAAAATTGTACAAAATAATGGGTATCATCATGATATTTTCCAAGCATATTTTTATCAAGAGAAATACACAATGGACATTCACGAAATGCTTTGACCTAGCAGCTCCTAACTGAGTGCTTCTTCTGTTAGCCTCTATCCTGTGTTTTTCAGTGGTTCGGGTCTTCATTTTCCTTGCTGACAAATACGGTTACACACTAGGTTTTGAGTGATTTTAACGGTTAAGAGGCACTTGAAAATACGTATCTTCACTACACACACTTCCAAATTTTTAAAGGAGCCAGTACGACTCTTTTGGGGTTTTAGAAAACAATATGTAAGAAGGTTTACAGGTAGAAGACATTTAGTATTTGTTAACTAAACGATCAAATTGGAGGAAACAAATTTTATAATTTTATTCTATAATTTCAATCACCGCACTTTTTTAGGTGTAAAGGTGAAGGGTGGTACCTAATATCTTACTTAGCATTCCGTTTTTCACTCCGCTCTTTCTCCAAATTATAGCGCCTAGGACTCCCCATTCTTCTTCGTACTGGGGACGTAGGAGCCAATCAGAACGCTGGACTGCGGGGCGGGGCAGATGAGGGAGGACTGGCGGAAGATGTGACTTTTTTACCTTCATTCAATCGGACAAAGAAGGCCATAATAGTTCAGGGCGGTCGAAAATTCCCCGTGGGTTCCCAGGCGAAGTGTTAAACCTCGGTGAGGCTGACCATTAGTCAGAAGGGCACTTAATTACAAACCTTGTAGGCCCGGTGGAGACGTTATTTCCCAGGATCCTGGAGAAATGGCTAGAGGTTGTTATGCTGCCAGTACCTAAAATGGCAGCGCGGCGCTTCAGCCTCTAGATGAGGTGACGTAGCGCCAGTGCGCTCCCTTCTCACTAACGCCCTGCCTCTCGCTTTTCTACGTAGAGGTGGGCGTGGCTTGCCCGGAGGTCCTTTCTTCAGAAGCTGAACAAACCCAGGGATACCCGCGCCGCGGGGCCCCTCAGACCCTTCGCCCCGCCCATCGCCCCGCCCCATTTTCCCGGGCGGGGCTGGGCCAAGAGTCCAGCTGCTGCTGGCTGGAGATCCAGTGACTTCCTTGTTGTGAGTCCCGGCCTGGCAGTGTCCGCGCTCGTAGCCCTGCTGTCCTTATCCGGACCGCTAGCCCGAGTCTAGGTCACAGCCACAACCCCACTCGGTCGGTCACCCTTTTCCCCGCACGCCCTTCGCTCTCTGACATGCCCAACCCCAGCAGCACCTCCTCTCCCTGTCCCCTCCCTGAGGAAATTAGGAACCTGTTGGCAGGTAATGAGCGGGAAGGGGGCGGCTGAGGCTGCTGGGGCGGGGGCGGGGGGACAGCGAGCCGACGGGGACAGAAGCATTCAGAGTCCGTAGCCTTTCTTCCCGCGCCCCCTTCCCCCTGGTCTTCTGACGGGTTGGGGTCGGACGGAGAAGAGGGAAGAGGGTTTGGGCCGAGGACGGGAGGGGGCGAGGGTGCTGAAATTTGGTGCGGGGATGCTGGCAGAGCCCTTGAGGTTCTTTTCTAACGGGATTAGCACAATTCGGAGTGCATCGTGTGGAAGGAGGGGAGAGGAAGGAGGAGGGAGATGCTAATGAGTGCCTGTGTGAGCGCTGGGAAGGTAGCACAAGTCCAGAAGCAGTTCTTGGGTGGCCAGGTCAGTGAGATGTCAGAGCCACAGGTGTTATGGGTATGGGGTGGGAAGTGTGTGCCATTTCTAAAACCCCCATTTTCCTTGAACATTCAGTCTACTCATATTTAAGACCCTGAAAAGGGCCTGATTCTCAAATGGCGATTTGTCTTCAGCCTGGGTAGAAGAGCAAAAAAAGGAAGGATATGTTAAAAGTTGTATTTCCTGTGCCCCATGATGAAAGCACTTCATGTTTGCACTCTCATTTTCTCCCTTTCAGTTTTACATTCCCATTTAGAGGAACTGGTTTCAGGAAGTAAAAATGTGGTTCTTCAGTGCTGTTAGTTCAGTAACATGCTGGATATGGATGGAGGTGTGTCTTTTTACTAAGGACCAATGAAAAATTTAAAGTTCTGCAAAAGGTAGAAAAAACATCTTTTTAGGGTAGCACTTATCTTCCCTATCCTGATATTCTGGAATTCTTACCATCATTTACTTTGTCTTGTGGATGTCAGAATTCTGGAAATGGAATTTATTATTTTACTTTGGATCTCAAAGATATTTCAGTTGTCATCATGAATAACAGGATTAAAAGGATCTCTCTTAGATGCCTGTGTTGCAAGTTGCTTATGTTAACCTTTAAAAAAAAAAAGCCATCTAGAATGTGACATGGGAAATAGTAAATTACTGCAGTAGCAGTGTGGGAGCAAATGTCTCAGTGTATCCTTCTACTATTTTGGCTGTTAGCATCATGAATAGGATTGAAAAAAATAAAACCAAGTTTATGAATGCAGACTTAGGTTTGTATGAATGTGACACCGTGTGATGGATGCATTTGCAGTGGGATGGTTCTCCCCCCTAAGAAGATGCTCCCTGTCAGTGATGGATACCGTGGAAGGAAACAGTGAAAGAACTGTAGAGCAACTGATTTAAGGCAGCTTTATTCCGTTACAGGAGAGGTTTACATTAGAACTAATTTTGTTTTACTACAGTTACCGTTTTTTGTTGTTACAATGCTGGAATTGCTTGTTTAGAATCGTATTTGAGTAACTTCATCAGAGGAGTGTTTATCTTTGTTCTAGAAATAGATGTCACCATTTTCGGGTTAGCTGGGTTGGTGTTTTTGAATGGAAGTAATAAAATACAGAGCTGTTTGCATGTTTTTAAAGTTGATAGTCCCCACCCCCCCATTAGGCAGCTGGCTGTTTGATCCATGGTCATACATTCCCAGTGTGCTATATGGGTTATGAGATCCTTTATTCTCTGATCCTCATAGATTATAAATATCTCATGTGTCCCTTATTTGTGTCATTTAACAGCATATTTATCTGCCAATCCTAACTTCCTATATATTTCTGCCATCTCTTTTAAATCAGGTAATATACTAACATAATGTCTAAAATTAGCTTTTTGTAAGTTATTTTGTTGACATATTCAGCATTTCATATTTTATTAAGTAAATCACATAAGGAATTAAAAATAAATATTAAAACTTGGGCAATCACAACTTGGATTGTAGAGTTATGGAGATGATTTGGGGATAGATACATACTTAAAGAAATAAAACAAGAAGTGCATAGGTGTTTTTTTATTGCTCCAAACATTTAAAAAAATGTATTCCAGAAAAGTTGTTAACATTTTATGTTTCACTGTAATTAAAATCTATGTTTGAGGTAGAGAAAACTTGAAGACTAGATGCTCTGAGCAGTTCTTTCATCCAAAAATGTTGTTGGGATGCATGATAATTTGCATAGTTCAAGTTTATTGGGTCTAATACATGGTTAGATTTAATTCTAAAATTATAGAGGAAGCATTTGTATTGATTTGAATTTTAGAACTTTGCTGGCTTATTTAGTATATATTTTCGATCCTAAAAAAGAGATATTGGTACTGCTGGTTGTAAGCAGTTGAGTGTTCTTAGAATGCATGACTTGATGCTGGTTAGATAAGAAACTAACCCTTTCACAAGTTGAAATCCTTTGCTTTAAGAAAAAAGAATATAATGCCAAAAAGATAATAGTTTTCAAAATAGTATTATTTAGACCTTTTCTTTTGTGTTTCATGTGCCTATTATCCAAATCATTGTATGTCATATATGTTAAGTATTTGACATTTAACTTAAATGCTTGATGTGGATAGGTGCTCAGATGTATTTTTGTAATCAATCATATTGATTCTTTTTCTTTGTCATTTTTTTCTAATTATGGTAGTTTTAGGCTACCCTTTCAATATTTGTCCCCCTCAGTCCTTTTCCTTTTAAAAAGATTGTATAGAAAACGAAAAAAATTTTAGAGATTATCATTCTAATTCACATTTAATGATATCTTTGAAAAGTGGCAATATAGTTTGACAGCTATATTTTCTGTAGAATTAGTATAGTACATTTTGAAGGCCTTTATTTCTTATAAGAATTCTTGAATTATTCTTTCAGCTGCATAAATAGAAAAGAGCTTATCAAATTTTGTTGTTAAAAAACAAATTTTGAACCACTGTGTACCCTACAGTCAACTTTTGATTCCCCCCTCCACAACAATGGAAGAACAGGTTGAACCTAGATAATTAAAATCAAAGGACAGCCCAAATCTCATCCATTTAATCTTCTCCCATATCCAAATATTTTGACTAGGACTACTCCAAGAATAATCTTGATTTATGTAAGTTTCTCCCTTCTGGCAGGCAAGAAAGTGAGAGGAACTAGCAGTACTATCTGCTACCCCCCCTCCCTTCATTTGTTTAATCACCCTTTAAATAGTCTTCTTAGTAGTTTGCAGTCAGATATTCTGATTCATTCTCATTCACGCTTTTTATTACAACAAACTTTAAAGGAGGCTGTTATCTACTTTTTAGTAAATTAGGAACTGAAGCCAATATTAAAAGAAGAAAATAGTTGTGAGTGCACTGAAAAATCAAAACCAGATGAAACAAACAATAAGCAAAGTGGTTGTATGGTTTCTGCAAAGTGACCTTGAGATTTTGTTCATGTGGCAGTTTTGATTAGAAATGTTGTGTTTTCCCCTATTGGGGATTTCCAGAACATTTTTTTTAACCTTCACACATTGTAATCAATAATCCCTTTAGGGATACTTGATAAGAATGCAGTTCTGTTGAAATAGAGGCAAAATTTTTTCAAAGACGAATATAGTATGGTTTGATTTCCACCTTTCCAAAGTGTTATTTAATTTGGTCAATATTTTGGCTTTATTCTTCGATAGGAATTATTGATGCTGTATATACTTCCTTCTGGGGCATTGGCTGAGTACTTAAAGGGAAGAGTGCCACCTACTGAGTCACCAATACTCACCTACAGCCTCCCACCTGCATTTTCCAACAGAGCAAGAATAAGCCTGCCTCATTTTGGCAGCAATAACTAATGAGCATAAGTTGCTATGAGAACATTTAATCTCAAAATGAAATCAGCCTATGACAAACAACTCTAAGATACTTTCTGGTCTAGTGACCAGAAGTGTATAGTGGTTTTTTTTAAAAATTATCTTAAGAATATAATATTCTACTTTTTTTGGAGGATGGGGTATTTTGGCATGCCTTTCCATTAAAAATATTTTTATCTCTGATTACTAAGTAAGGCCCTTGATGTTATGTATGATTTTTATAGTTACTTAATCCAAGTTATGACTGGTTTTCTTTAAAAAGAGAATTCTAAATATACTAAAAAATGAGCTGTATATGAAAAATTTCCAAGTGGGTTTATTTTTGCTGATATTAGTATTAAAGTATTGCTAGAAAGAAGGTAGAAACAACAGAGTAGGAAAAGCCTCTGGTGATTTGAAATACAGTTCAGTTGTCTCTCATAAATTTAAGATTAAGTGTCATATATGGGTGATAAAAGTGGCATAGGCTAGGTTTTATATACTCATTATTCACTTAGTTTGTCTTTTTCAATTAAAGCCAAGTCTATCTTTTTCATTCCACTGAGTTTACATTTCTTTTTCAATCACATTCTGAACATATTACAATAGATGCCGTCTAACATGAATATAGTATAAATCTCAGACTAATGTGTTATTCACTGTGGATTCTTGGAAAATGTGTGGTAAAAAGATTTTGATGATTGTAAAGTGCTATTTATCAAGAGTCATCTTTTAGAGGTTGAAAGATGGTCAACACTATTTTCAACAGCCTAGCTTTCTTTTTTTTTTTTTGAGGCAAGGTCTTGCTTTATAGCCCAAGCAGGTCTCAGAGTTGTAATCCTCCTGCCTCAGCTTCCTGAATGCTAGGATTATAGGTGTGAACCACCATGCCCTGCAACAGCCTAGCTTTTTGTCAAAATAAATTATTTAGCCTGCAGAGCCAATTTTGAAAAAATCTGTAGGATGACTGGATTATAAGATTCAGATATGTTTTACCAATTGGACTAGGAGAACTGTACTTGTTCACATTCCTTTTTCCATGTTTGAAAAGTCCACAGTTCAACCATACCCTATTAAAGTACTAATAATCAAGGGAAGTCATTGATTAGAACAATCAATAACTTTTCAATTAGCCATTTTCCAACTTTGGGCATGGGCTGATTTTTATATTTTCACCAGTAGCTGTTTGGTTAGACCATTCTCTAACAGAGAAGTGGTTTTTGTTTGTTTGTTTTTTGTTCTGAAGGCAGCTTAGGCTCTGATCCTTAACACATTAAGTTTGGTGACAGCACATCTCAGAGAATAGAGTGACATCTGGCCTCAGTTCATAAAGAAGAAAGAGATGTGGAATTCAGTAGTAAAGTCATTTGGGGTGCCCTGCGATTGGTTTTTATACTTACTGTATTAATCTGGGGCTGAGCAAATGGTGGTAGATTCAGCCTAGTTCTTGCTCCCTCCTCTATACAACTCAGTCCATCATGGAGGCTGTGTGTGTGTGTGTGTGTGTGTGTGTGTGTGTTACACTTACACTTACACATTTGCTCCTCTGCTGGGAGGTATTGGGTAGTTGAGGGACCTGCCTTCAGATCCCATTTCAGGTTGTTTTGTGGTGGGGGATGTCTTGAGGTCAAGTCCCCTCTGTTGTCAAGTGTGGAAGCCTGTGCTGGGTACTTAACTTGGAGGAGCCCAGTTTCTTCTTGTCAAGAATACTGAAGCTGTTCTGACCTTGTGTGTTCTACCTTTTCTCTGTGTGATCTATATGGAAATTGGTAGAAAGCAATGTGAGTGTATGTGTTAGATACCTGTCCCCAATTACATGGGACACTACAGGAAGACAGGGTGGCAGTTTTTCTAAGGAGTGTGTATGTACCAAAAAAAAAAAAAAAAGACAGTAGGAATAACATTTAGTGAGTCGTGTGTTAAGTGTTTTGCCTGAAGAGGGGTCGAGATGGCTATTGAGAGGTTTCTAGCTGGCTAAGGACTGCTGAGCCTGAACAGTCATCTTTTAATTTTCTTTTCAGACCTTAACACTTATCTAACAGAGTAGCTGTAAATCTGATCTTTTCAGCGGCCTTCTCCCCCAGATCCTTACAGCTGTGTCTGGAGATAGGGTTTACTTTTGATAACACTAAGGCGTCACCGGAGCGAAAATCACCACCACGTTTACTTTGGCCAGGATAACTTTTTCCTAGTGATGCCTTGGTGAGGGGTAGGGGTCGGAGGGTGGGGAGGCATGCAGATGGGGCGACGCCAGTGCGGCTGGGGGCTGTCAGGCTTGGTGCTCTGCGGCACCCCCTTTCCTGTGCGCCGACTGGGGGTCTTCCAACTCCTCTCCCAGGATGGGCGCCCCTGGTAGTGACTGGAACCCCTCCCTCCCTCCTTCTTCCCTCCCTCCGAGTGCGAGGCAGGCTGATCTTTTCTTGGACTCGCATTACAGTCCGGTGTTAGTCAGTGAAATCTGCATGTGAGCCAGGGCACGACCCCTAAGAAAGGTAAAAGAGGCCGGGCAGGCTCCCTGCTTTGCGGGCCCGCTGGCTCATGGCTTACAGGGCTGTCAGCACAATGACCAGCCTCTCGTCTTCCTACCAGCCGGAGGAGCGCTGCATTTACCCAGGACTTTTATGGCTCCCCTTTGAAATATTACCCCGCCTTTGAGGTACAAAGCCACCGCTCCAGCCCCATTTGTGTGTGGCCAGGGCTCTGCCCCAACCTGGCTGTCCCAGCTCTCAGCTCAGTGGTCATGGCTGGTGGTGGGGAGCCCAGGGCAGGGCACCCCGGAAAACCGAACCCGGTGCGTCCTCCTCCCTGCGCGCCCGTCGGTGCCCTGGGCGATTTTAAGAAATGGCCTAGATTGCAAAAGCTTAAAAGCCAACCAAGTCCGGACAACCCACAAACTAAGAGTATTGCAGGAACTGCTTCTAGTTAAAGTTCCTATTTTTTACAAAAAGAAACAAAAAGCCCCTGCAAAACAGTTTCTATTCTATATCGCCTTTGAGAAATAATTACCCAAAAGGTCATTGTTTAATAAATCTTCTTAGTTGCCTTAAACCCGTTTTCTGGGAAGAGCTTGGCAATAAGTACATTCAATAAGACTACTCTAAAAGTGGAGATCTTTTCCCTTACCCCTTGAGACATAGCGATTCTCTCTGCAGCCCCACACTCTTTTCAACAAATATTAACTTATAAATACAAGCCCGGCTCAGCATTTTCAAAACATTTGGAAAGTTTTTTAGGAATGACCACATTGAACATTGCAGCCTTTTTGTTTTCTGAGTTTTTGTAGAGCTAATATGACTTTTTAAAGAAATTACTTTCGGACTGTAATTCATTCTGTTACTGCTTCCGAGATAGAAAATAGATCCTGTTTGTTTAAGCTTGGATTGTATAATGAAAATGTAAAATAGGCAATTAAATACCCGTGGAAGAGGGAATTAAAGACAAACATCGAGTGAAAGTAGCATTAAGCAGACTATTCACCATCATCGTGCCAGTGGTTCTCCTAAGCACAGAGTCGGGAGTCCGGGTGCAAAAAAACCCTCAGCAGTAGAGATCTGCCACTCTTCTCTACTTCCTCCATGGATCTCAGGGAAGACAATGGGCTTTTCTCTTACACCTAATGTCTGAAGGTCCAAAGTGGCTTGCTCCTCTGGTGCAAGCTCCTTCATGAGTTTTATTATTTTAAGCTCACTGAGAAGTGTGGGTTTGATTTTCAGTGGTTCTGGACTCTTTCCCCCTTCAAAATATAGGCAACTCAAGGAAAGAGAAGCTGGGACATTTTGCTTTCATTTCATTTTCATGCTTACTTTTAACATAATAGTTAATGGACTTCAAACTAGGAGCTATTTTAAAAAATTATTTCAAGATTTGATTTTAATTCTTTCCTTTGTCATGTTGACTCAGTGAAAAATTACCTTTATACATTTATTATGAAGGTTTAATCAATTAAACAATTATAACTTTCCTTATGTCATCACAATGCTTTTGTGATCAGGAATTTAAAATCAATTGTAAATATTCTATCCTATAGGTTAGGTTTTAAATATTTAATTGCAAATAATTGAGAGAATATTATTATACTACTTTTCATTAGTTACATGTAATATTACGTTTTGATAAATTTTTATCTGTATAACTCAAGAGATAAAGTAAAACATATATACCTAGTTTCAAGATGAAATATGATTTGTAGCGATGCCCACTTAAAATTTTTAATGGCATCCTGTATATTAGGTATTTCATAATGAACTTTGAAATTCTGAAAATAAAATTAAGTTGTACCATATTTCATGGGCAATAAGAATGCAACTATTACAAAAGTCAAACAGGCAAGGACTTCATGAAATTTCACATGAGAGAGAATCAGACAATATAATAACTTAGGAGTTTACTAAAATTTAAAAGAAGAGACTATGGGGGGATGTTATATGAGGACACAGAAATCTCATGTCTTAGATACTATGTTTTTGAATAGAGGAAGAATATTTTTCTACTACTTTGTTTAAAAAACTGTTTCAGGTGGTTAATAGCAAGGCAGATCTTGCAGAACCACAGGATAGTTACCTTTCTGGTTTGAGAGTGGCCAGAGTGGTTGGGACAGGTAGCACCCCAGAGTGGGGGAGGAGGGTGTGATTTGGGAGTCTTGGCTAGAAAAAAGGGATTTGTTTTTTGTTTTAAAACATTAAACATTATGTAAACCTGAAAATGGATTACACTAGGCGAAACAGACCCTTGCCAGAGACATTAGCTTATCTCGGTAAAATATTGTGAATGACTTGTTCATATAGAAACTTATAAAATACTATAAAATGTTAGTAACACATGCATGAAAGCTTGCTGCTTGCTTTTATATAGAGAATTTGTTTTATGGGGCACCACAGTTTATTAAAACTTGTGTGCTTCTTCCTAGTTTAATGATGCCAAACATCCAAACAGCATTTGCTGTGCTAAGCATAAGTAGAGCATACAAATTTTATTAGCTAAGTGGTGAACAGATTTGTCCAACTTAGTATTTGAAATATACTTTAGCTGTTATGCTTTGGATTGATAAATAACTATAACAGATTGTGCAGATATTAACACTTATGTGTAGAAACAATCATTGTCCTATTTGTCTTCACAAAAATGATTCTTTCCCATAATTTGTATTCTTTTTCTTATATTTCATGGTTTAGATGTTGAAACATTTGTAGCAGACATACTGAAGGGGGAAAATTTATCCAAGAAAGCAAAGGAAAAGAGAGAATACCTTATTAAGAAGATAAAAGATGTAAAGTCTATGTAAGTCACCTGCCTTTTATTACTAATTTCTTACTTAGAAGCAACTTTGTAATTAATATTGTATAAGGAATTGATTATCATGGAGTTAAATTTTTTATGTTCTAATTCGTTGGTGTTAAGTATTTTTAAGGGATAAAAATATATTTACACTACAATAGTTTTAAAATATAGACATGTTTATATTACCCTTTTTGTGTGCAGGTTTTTGATTATGCATTTTTCTAAGTGTTCTAACAAAATCTAAAAACTGTTTATTTTGATTATTGGAGGGCGTGTTTGGTCTAAATGATAACATATAGGTAGATTGAGGATTTGATATAAATATGGAAAATATCTCAGATACTGGAGAAGAAATATTTTTGTTATTGCATTAAGTGAATAACTGTAATAGTCATTATAGGGGTTAAAGACATAGTCTCATTTTACTACTGTAGTTAGATCTGTAAAAATAATCTTACTATAAAATTCCTGAGCCTTTCAGAATCCTCATTTCAGGACAGGAAATGTTTTTTTCTCTAGATGTATATTTGTAATACAGATTTTGGTTTTAAATTATGTCCACTAATTTGACCTCATTTTGGTTTTTTTCATCCTCATTTTAAAATGTAATATTCTTTATTTTGCAGCTATCTTCAGGAATTTCAAGACAAAGGTAAATTTCAAACTTGAAATTTTTTCTTCTTTGGAGATTTTGAATAGGATAAACTAACACATTCTAAAATTTAATAGCTGGAATCAAAATTTAAATTTCTATACTATATATTTAGACCTTCAAGATGAGAGTGCTAGCTCCCCCTGCTGAGAAAAAAATTAAAAAACATATCCAGAATGCACTTCTCAGTCTTCCGATGCAGAAATCTTTTGCATTCAGCATCCTCAGGTTTTGTGTTTCTTAGAGGTCATTACGGCAGAGATTTGGGAGGACAGGTATATAGCTGCAGCTATCCGTGGGATGATTGTGTAAAGCAGAGGTGAAGTATCACCCATGCTGTTTAACACGGCAGAGGCTTGCTCTGGTGAGTGGTGGGAGCAGGAGGGCCTGTGACTGTGTGCCCACACATCTTTTTTTTGTAGGTACTATAAAAGCAGTATCAAATTTTGTTTGTGAACAAGAGTAAAATCTTTTCCAAATCTTTTTACTTTCCTTATGGTTCTTCTGATTTGAATAAACATATACCTTAGAAATTTTTAGAGATGGGAGTTCAGTTTCACTGTTTTGAAATATGTGATTGTGCTGGTAAACTGATCGCCTTACTTTAGATTTGAGAGACTGCTCCTTAGCATTCTGAAAACCAGACCAGGAACAGCATAGGTACTGCTTCATGTCTTTAGTTCTGTGAGGAAAACTGCATTTGACCCTTATTTCCACAATGCTAATTTGTAGTTTGTGACCTCATACCTTGATGCTGGTATGAGGATTCCAGTAGGAGGGCAGTTAACCTACAGGGCTAGGTTGTGAGTTTGGGAAAGAAACAGTGTGGGCATCTTGTATCTGGGATTAGCAAGTCCCACATGGGAATTCATATTTGTGCCAGTGATCAGAGAGAGGATAATGACAGTTGCAGTAAACCCAGTATGTAACCAGACAAACCTAAAATCTGTTAAGAGAAAGTCACAGTTTCTTTTCATATTATCAAGAGTGAAGGAGATGAGATATTTTTTTTTCCATTTTAAGATTTTTTAAACACTATTAAAGATAAGAGCAGGAAAATGCCTCCTCCTCCCTCCAAGTACTCACTATTTTGTGCTCTACAATGAATTTTAAATTATGGGCCATTCCTGTTTTATTTTGCTTGGTTGAATATGGAAAGAAATTTATGCATTTTAATTATGATAGGTTTCATGTTTATGGATGAATGTTAGATATCAGATTCTCCCTCTTCTTAAAAGGCATATTTTGGTGCAGATATTATTTATTGAACTCTCATTGTGGCTTAGTTATTTGTACGTTAAAAGTTTTAAGATAAGAAGGCATGGTAGTCATTGTATAATTGCATATGGTTTGGCAATAGTGTAGGAACTTTCCCTTTGGAATTCTGTTTTAGAACTTGTTCAGGTGTGTGGATATTAAAATTACATTACTGAGATACATTCTTTGTCTCCAAAGAGAATGGAAGTTTATATAGTATTTGATAGAAATTGAAAAATGAGCCTAGAATAAGAGTTCGAATAATGTGGAATTCAGAGATTCCCCATAATCATTTTCCTCTGAATAAGTCATTTGAAGTTCAGTACTGCTGTATTGAGTTAACTAATCACCAAGAGTGCCTGCTCGAAAGTAAGCCTGTGGATAAATTAGATATATACCTTGGAGAAATATGAGAAGCTAACTAATTTTATGCCTTTGTACACTCACAGTATATTGAGCTTTGTTCTAAAATGCCTTTTTATAGCTTGTTAGCAATAGTATGGAATAAAGACTTAAGAGTAATTATTCAGGATGTATTTTTTTTTTAAAAATGGGAATTTATTTTCAGATCTCTACTTGAGTGAATTCAGTCTAAGTATGAATTGATGGTGCTTTCCCCCTCTTACATTTTGCTGGAGGGGTTTTGAATTGTCCAGAGGGCTTGGAAGAATTCCTTTTGGCTGTTTTCCTGCCTCCCCTTCCAATATAGGGTCACAATGTAGAGCTATTTTTCTCCGTTTTTACTTTTATATCCCTGTTTGTTTTATGTACTTTATTTTGAAAATGACACTTAAATGCCATTTTAACACATTATTGGGAGAAAAAAGGATCACATGGAGAGTTCTTACATAAAATGAGTTAGTTTAGACTTCCTCATTTCTCATGTATGCAGAAGTCTGTCAGCCTCACAAACTTCACTCCTAACTTCTTCCCCTTAGGCCCTAGGAAATCTCCCATCCTGATTTAACAATACAGAATTTAGTTTGAGATATATCAGTTCTTAAAATTAGTTGAATTGATAATTGTTGAAACACTGAACTGTATGGATACTAGAAGACTTTATTTGTAGTTCTACTTTTTTTGGTGAGAGCAATTTATATTGATAGAAATTTGTTTTATTGTAATGGCTCCTAAGTATTTGAGCTTACTCACTAAGTTAATTTTCTACTTATTATTTATATTCATTTCCAAAGGAAGCTGTTATTTTAAAACTTCCCTGTTCATTTCTTTTTTTTCCCCACCCCTACCCTCAGTGGTACTGGGGTTTGAACTTAGGGACTTGCTAGGCAGGCGCACTGCCCCTTGTGCCATGCCCTAGCCCTTTTTGCTTTAGTTATTTTTCAGATACAGCCTCTCACTTTTTGCCTGGACTGGTGTGGGACCACAATCTTCCTATCTAAGCCTCCTGAGTAGTGAGTAACTGGGATTACAAATGGGAACTGCCATGCTCAGCTTATTTGTTGAGATGGGATCTTGGAACTCTTTGCCTGAGTTGGCCTCCAACCATGATACTCTTGATCTCCAAGTAACTGAGATTACAGGCATGCACCAATATGTCTGGCAGTCATTTCTTTTTCTTTTCTTTCTTTCTTTCTTTTTTTTGATAATACTGGTGTTTCAACTGAGGGCTTTGTACTTGCCAGGTAAATGCTATAATTGAGGTATGACCCCAGTCCTGAACCTCATCTCTTTAATTTATTAAGGGTCTCCTTTTATCTTCTTACATAATTTTGTCCAGATTCCCCACTGAAGATGTCTGACAAATTGGAATTTTAGAGTAATTATCAGTTGGTTTTCTGAATTCCTTAGTTTTACTTGTATTTTGGAAAGAATTATATCCAAACAAGCGGAACACATTTGTAGTCCCTATCACTCATTTGAAATGTTGCCTATTTTATCTAGAATAGAGAGTTCCTCCTTACATCCTTCAAAGTATTGTGCAAGACAGAATAGCTATCCAACTCCAGTTGTATATGGACCAGTACTATAAAGCGGCTGCCTGAAACAGGTTCCATGCTCTGGAGTCACGCTATGATATTAGGTTTAAAGTCGTTGTTGTCTGTTACAACAAGCCAGAGATCTCTTACATGTCACTTGAAATAATTATTTTGGCAACAAGCGTATATTACTACTTCAAGACCATTACAAAAAGAGCATTCACTAGAATTTTCTAATATATACTAGATACATGCTGAAAAAGTTTTACTTATACCATAGTTAAATCTTGACTTCATATTAGTGTTGTTTGACTCCAGTGATGACTTAGGTGTGATTACTTTCCTTCTGGACTAATTTATTAAAATAAGATAATATGAAACTACCTACTTATGACACATAGTAGAAGTTCAATAAACACTATCTTACTGCCTACTTCCCAATTCAGCTTCATTTGTTAAGACAGTTTAAGTTAATCTTCATTTGGAAATTCAACTTTCAAATAATTTTTAGGAAATTATAAATTATTAAAAGAAGGGCATGTATAATAAATGAGACGTTTCAATAAATGAGAGTGTTTTTCAAATTGAAATTTATAAGTATGTTGTTTTTTTTAATTAGCATACAGTAGTAGTACAGGGAGAGTTTGTTGTGATAATTCTATAGATGAGTGCAGTGTACTTTGAACTAGTTCAACTTTCTATTATATTATCTTAGCCTCCCTCCTTCCTCCTTCTTTTTCACAGAATATTTGTTGGGTTTCATTATGATATCTTCATACATTTTTCATAGATACACACGTATGTACATATTTATACACATTATATAATGATTCTTTTCATCTTTGCTTTTTTTTTTTGAGCAGCGTCTTAACATATAGTCCAGGCTAGTCTTGAATTCTCTCTGTAGCCCAAGCTGGCCTTAAACTCATGATCCTCCTACCTCAGCCTCCCGAGGGCTGAAATTACAGTGTGCACCACCACGCTGGGTTACATTTTTTTTTTAAAATGTGAATATATGATGTTTTATAGGCTACATCTACATTTTCTCCCTTAAAATCTCTTTTCCATTTCATTGTAAAAAAATTTAATAGATTTTTCCCTCAGGACTCCATTGATATTGTTAAATATATGTAGGTTTACTTTGAAAGCAATACTTTTGACCTCGTTCATATTCTTTCTTAAGTTTATAATGAACTAAATTACTTCTTTAAATAGCAGTACTCTTAGGTAAGAAGGGATACATTTCAGTTTGTCCTTATAGAATCTTAAGAAGAGAAGCCAGAGGTTTAGTTGATGTTTAACTTCCTTTCTTTTTTCTGTCCTTACATAGTATATTTCCAGCTGGAATTAGCTTCACAATGAAATCTGGGCAAATTAAATTCACAGATTTTTTCTTCTACCACCCAGTCCCACCTCTACCTTTGTATAAGTGTGCTAAGCACACTTGAGATTATGGGGCCTGTAGTGGTGGAAGTCTGTTTCCACTGCAGTGCTTGAGAGATGGTGTCCTTATTTTAAAGCTCTGCCTCGGTTTACTATTTGCCTGCTATAAATTAACATTAAATAAGTTAGAGTTATGAGGAGATTCTTCTTATTTATCAGTGACCTGTATCCTGAAGAATTAAACTTCCCTTAAGAAATTACAAGTTAAATGCTTAATTCTATATACTTAGCTGAATATTATTACTTGAGAAATTAGATTGGACAAGTGAACAGAGCAAAGAATTAGAAACTAATTTGTTTTCACTTGGAGTAATTTCCCCCAAGTTTGTCTTTGACGCTGTTTGAGGGAATGTTTTGCTTATTTTTTTCTATTCAATTAACAATAGTTGTATACATTTATGTGGGGGGCTGTGTAATATTTCAATGTGTATATAAAATGTGTTGTAAATTTTAGGGATGGTATTTAGTTGAGTGTTTATCTGATTGTGCCTAAATAGGATCAGACCCATTAGTTTTTTTTTTTTTTTGGTGGCACTGGGGTTTGAACTCAGGGCCTCACACTCTTACTGCTTGAGCCACTCCACCAGCCCAATCTGATTGTGCTTAAAATAGGATTGTATTTGAAAAAAGGAGCAGTGTATTGGATAATCACTTTCAGTCTGGGGAGAGATCATGGCTGCTCAATTGCTGTTGGGCTGCATCTCTAGGCATTGAGGAAAATGTTAATTGATGATGAACCATATCTAAAAAAAATGGCTAGAAGTGCTTTGAACTATTATAAATTAAAAACAATTTTGAACAATTAAAAGTTGCTGTGAGAGAAATTATGCTGCTGTGATACGAAAGCCTTGATTTTGCTGTGATATTTAAGTTGCCACTGAAATTACAGGAAGGGAGGACTTGGATCATTGTCGTTTAGACTGTTAACTTTGTATCGTTAATTAAACTTTTGAAAGTTGTGGGATAAATCAAATGCTTTTCTAGGGAAACAAGAAACAGTATTAATGAGTAACAACCCCATAATTATCCTTCTGAGTACATAACAGGGACACATTCATGTCTTTTCTTTGCGCAATAACTTTTACAAAGAAGTATTTTTAAACTGATCATTAATTTTATGGCCACCGAAATGAGATGCAAAATTTATGCTGTTGTCATTGGCACAGGCTCAAGGCCCACTGACATTATGTGTGATTGTAATGGAATGGCTGCCAACTAATGATTCTGTAGACATTTCATTTGAGCATGCTTTTCTTTTAGATGTCTGATTAGTCTGTAATGCTTTCAATTATGTCTGTAAATTGTATTGGATACGTTTACCTGATGCCCATTGTTGATTTGGAATTCGGTTTTTTATTACATTAACACAAGTTGAACATTTTCTTTTTAATTTATAGAAGTCTTTGCAGGTATAGCTACAAATACTTAGCCTCTGGGGAGGAAAATGCTTTGCACTACTCAACAGCGACCCCTGTGTTCAATTAAAGCTCCCTATAAGGCAACAGACTTTTTGCTTTATTGGGTTGAAAAACAAAATTAGGGAGGGGAAAAAGGGATGAATCATTACTGGAACAACAGTGTCATGAAGAAGATCATGCTGAAAAATGATATGTCCTTTCACCTTAATGCAGTTGGTAAAAAGGGACTATCCCTATGTAGATACCATATAGATTCTTTACTTTCTGAGTGAATTCCAAGGAAGCTGACAGGGTACAGGAGGTGAGGAGGGTCAGGAGAGAGGGGGGTGGGAGGAAGAAACCAGGCCAGTAACAGTACTTAATTTGTTTTGTCTTAGATAAATACAAATATCACATTGATTTCTTTAAAAAAGACAGTATTTTCACTTAGCTTTAGTTCTTATAATGGGAAAAATTGAAGACAATTTCACTGTAATATATAATTTGAAAAACATTTAAAAAAACCCTGAAAACCAGAGGTCTTCAACCTGTCAGTGACCAATTTGTGTAGAATAAGTATTATTGTATTAAGTATTATTGACTTTATAGCTTTAATAATGATCTTTCTTTTTGCTATGTATGTGTCTATCTATATATGATATATATCAAATGTTAGACTGGTGTGTGCTTTGTGTATATATATACATATGTACATATATACATGCATGCATACATAGACATAAAATTGTATAATGGATATTATCAAAGGATAATGAATTACTTCTGACTTTCCAAACTTTTAAGTTTTAATTATTTGTTCATTTCCACAGAGTGTAAGACATTTGAGCCTGAGCATCTGAAGTTTTTTCAAACACTTTTCTGTATATTCTTTAGTTTTATTGTTTTTTTATAGTTATAATAGCATAATATGCTAAGTGCTAAATTCTGGCAATGTATTTGAAGTAACCATTTTTTATTCAACAAGATTTATTTTTTTTAATGTGTGATATGAAATATCTTTAGCAAATTTGTAACATACAAATTATTATTTCATTAAGAATATAAGGATTCTTTAGCTACTCAGAGTAACTGAGAATTTTGTGATCTTTACTACTACATAGTCCAGGTACCATCATAACATGGTCAATGATTTTTTTGGCAGCATTTGATCAGATTCCTTCTTTATCTTTGAAACCAGAGCGTACTTCTTTTCATAAGAGAAATGTTGTAAGGAATCACTGAAGGTTCAGAAAAGTACTTTGAACATCTCCAAAGAAAGATAAGATCTGAAGAATTTGTAGTATTTATGTGCATTCCTTGGAATTTTAATTCTAGTAAAGAATTAATTGATGGAAAGAAAAATCACCATGTTTAGTGCATCTAGGGTGCAATGGCTAAGGATGACAAGATAGACATCTGTGTTCTGCTCTTCTCTTCATAAGAGAGGTTTTGACCTTTATTTTTTCAGGATAAGCATGACAATTTCTCATAAAATAACAAAATTATAAGGAAATAGAGATGGATATTTAATTTTTAAATTATTTTGACAGTGTTGTCTTGAAAGAGGCTATTTCCTCTACGAAAAATGTGCTGAAATATAGGATGGCAGCCAGCAAAAGGTGTCAGAGGATATAGATATCCCTTTGGAATGACTAGTGGCTTTAATCTGGATCTGCCCAGGAACTGTGGTGCAAAAGTAATATGGTAGGCACTGTAGGGTTCCTGTGGGGATTTTCACGTGCCTTTTGAGCAATCCCTGAGGGGCTGGTTTTTCTCTCAAATTGATAACAGGTAACTTGAATTATTTACAGTTAGACTTGATATAGTATTATGCATACATTTTTCTTTGTTGTTGAATCAGGGTAAAAAATGAAGTCTTGTATGTAACTGGTCTAGCAAGTAGCTGGTAAAGTGTTGTTTTAAAAAATATTTCTAATCAAAGTACATTGTATGCATGCATGAAAATATAAAAATGAAACCCATTAAATTGTTTTTAAAATGGGGAGGGAGGATAAAAATGATTTTAAAAATTTAATTGGGCTAGATGGAAAAAGCCCAAGCTACAAGATCTTATGGGGATTAAATGGCCTAAAACAAACAAACAAGCAAACAAACCCTAAACAAACCAGCCTGGGATTTGGAAATCGAATAGGAAACCGGCCAGTATATGAAAATAATAGTTACAAACCATTGAATCAGTGTTTGTGAATCACCTTGTTTGAATATAAAAGGATTATGTGAATTTTAAAGTAGTTTTTTCCCATAAAGGATTCCTTCTCTAGCAAATGCAACTGTTTTTAATAAATTCTAAAGTGATACTGTGACTTTTAATGAAAATAAAGTACTCATATGAGTTCAAATGGTCAATTTCTTATCATAATTTTTCAGATTATTAGAGTAGGTAAGTGGAGTTACTTGAAATATTTTTGTTGTACTTTGCATTTTTTGTTATTGATATTTTGATTCATTTGTTTTATCATCTTTTTATCTTTTGAGTTTCATGTAGAGACCATCATGATTTTACAGCTTTATCCTTTCCTACAATATGTAAGCAATTTTCTACTGGTCTTCAAAAACTTACTATATTTACATTATGATGGAAATAAACCAAAATAGGGCCTGCTTTTACCTAGTTCAAAAAACTTCTTTGTTTATCCATGACAGTGACTGCATTTCATGGTAAAACTTCTTTTGACAAAGTAACATTATTTTAAATGGCTAAACCATAAAAGACATTTCTCCAATTCTTTTGTAGGTGATGCAGAAGAAGGGGAAGAATATGATGACCCTTTTGCTGGACCTCCAGATACTATTTCATTAGCCTCAGAACGATATGATAAGGATGATGACGCTCCCTCTGATGGTATGCGATGTTTTCCTAGACATTATATGTCTTAGCACTTCTGTGTGAAAAGGGAGTGGTCTTACCAGAAAGCAGAAGGCAGGGGCCTTGGTTAACTCACCTTTACCGGACCCTTTTAAGGAACAGAACAGCTCTCTCTAGTGGTCCTAGTTGAGGTTTTCCTAAGGATATAGTTAACTTTTTTTTCTAGGAAATATTCTTTACTACTAGAATTTTTAGGAGCATGCTTACATGATTATGTGACTATTATTAGTAAGTTTGTTGGTTAATTTAATATTATCAGATTCTTGCTTAATTTTATTGTGCTTCTTAATGGCTTGTTGTATTATTTATTTTATGAATAATGAAAAAGATTTTTGATCTATTTTTTTCTGAAAACTTCATACAGAATGAGTTCATAAAATATTAAATTAATTATTCCTACATTGCTTTCTCATATCGAGACACGTTTTTATCAAATGTTTCTTTTAGTACGCATTTTCATTTTTTTGATTTTCACGTAAAATGCCCTATATTATGCAGTAATATTAGAGCGTTTTGTATTAATTGAATTAGTTATGAAGTTGGTTGTTTGTCTCTTAGTAATTTCTAAAAACTACTGAATGTTACCAAAGTTATGAAACTTGCTTTTAGTGTACAGATGTGCTTTCTCTGTTATAGCCAGTTTAGTGCACCTGCATCATAGAAACCTTGTAAGGGTGAGATATAGTTATAAATTAAGAATGTGTATAGATAAATTAGCCATGCATATTAATTTGTGGCACTCAGAGTTTCACACAGACATAGAAATGAATGATGCCTTCTGCCACTATATGATGATCAAACTGTGCAGTTCCATCTCTAAATACAATTGCTGAATGAAAATATGCTTCCTGCAACAGAGCACTCCACACTTTATGTGATCCAGATTATTCCCTTTGGAAACATAAATTGCTTTTATGAGGTATAAAATTACGTCTATTGCAGAACAGGGATAAGTCAAGTACATGCATAAGTGATAAGCATTCTAACCACTGATTCAGAACAAAACAATCTTTTCTTATACCCAGAACTTTGTACAATTTGTAGCAATAATAATCATATCCATTTTCTGTTGAGTTTTACATTTAATTTCTATTGTTAAAGGACGGAATTTTTTCTCTTCCATTTCCCCTCTATCTTTTATAAAGATGATGCACATTTCTCTTTGCTTACAGTTTGTTATCCTAAGCAGACATTGCCCTTTCTAATCTCAACTTCAGAAACATTTCTGTGAGAAAATGCCTTATAATTGATGAAATAATATTTTAGGCAAGATAATTATTATTTAAATTAACCCGTTTTTCAGAAACTTGTTTTGCTTTTCTGTAAAATGTTGGTAGATGTGAATGAGTATATATGTGTAACTATATATACATACAGACACTATTTATACTAAAAAAAAAAACATACACAGAATGTATTCATAGAATGGATATACTGAGTTTCTCAAAATAGTGTAATATTTTGATGTACAGGTGGTATTAGTTCAGGCTTAAAAAATTGCGGCCTAAAAAATCCAATTAAATCAGAGGCAGAAATCCTCTAGTGATATTTTAGAAAAAATGAATTGTTTTTAAATTATAGTATATTTATTTATTATAAGCCTTATCATTTATTGTGCACTAATAGTTGCATTTCTAAGCAGATGTTATTTTTTAAATCTATTTTTTATTGTTTATTCATTTTAAATTATAATATATTTATATGATTATTGTGTGTTCTTTTTTTTTTGTGGTACTGGGACTTGAACTCAGAGCCTTCGTTTTGAGCCACTCCACCAGCCCTATTTTTGTGAAGGGTTTTTTTAAGATAGGGTCTCACAAACTTTTTGCCTGGGCTGCCTTCAAAACACAGTCCTCCTGATCTCTGCCTTCTGAGTAACTAGGAGTACAGGTGTGAGCCACTGGCTATGTGTTCCTTTCTGAAGAGTAAATAGTTTTTTTCAGAATAAAATATGTAGGAAATACATTAATATCATGAAAAAGTTGTTAAAAGATTGCCTTATCAATACTTAAGTAATAATTAATGACACTCTTATGTATAATTTTTGTTAAATATCGTGTTAAATATCAGTGTACATATATTAGTGTTTAAGCAACTCTTAAGCAGATTGGAAATCTAACTTTTAGTATTATTCATTTTTGATATATAAGTAACACAGGTTTTATTAGTTTTATATTTTCTCCTAAGAATGTTATTGTGTGCTAATTTTCAAAATACCATTTAGACTTTTAATTTCTATTCTAGACTATCATCTTATCATATCAGTTTTTCACCCTGGAACTTTGGTTTTTGGCTGTGTTCTCTTTCTTTTGCTGAATAAAATTTCCTTTATTATGTGACCTCAGTCTAATGATGTATTAATTAGAAAAAAGATAACGCATTTAACAATAAGTATAACCAGTTTAGCACAGGTCACCAAAAGGCCTTTTGTCAAATCAGATTGTTGTTTTGTCCTTTTGACTTTTACCTTATGGTAGGCACTAACAAAGTAGCTGAACTTTGATGGATTATAAACTCTAAACATGATATGTATTTTTCATAATGCTAATGTAATTTTCAAGGTACTGAAAAGGTCAAACCTGTACATCTCTATGTGCATTCTAAGTCTGTCTTTCCCTTTAAATTTCTTTTTCTCTGTTCCTCTGGTTCAAAAGTTCACTCAGTTCCCAAATGGCCACCTAATTTTCCAGTTATTCCCTCAAGCCATATGTGTTTTGGTTTCTTTATGGTTTATTAGGTACTGTAGGAAAGTAGCATAAGTTATATCTTCTAATGAAATTCAAGCACACTTCAGTGATGCTTCGACTTGATTGCTGGTAGCAATTAAATCACAGCCAAGGAGAATAATGCATAATCTCACAAGGTCCAGACACCCTATAGAAATTGAATAGGGATGAAAACAGAAAACAAAAACAAAATCTCCAAACCCTGCCAGGCGTGCTGTTTCCAGCCTGCCTGCTTTTTTTTTTTTTTTTATTGGCCAACTGCCTGATTGATAGCAAAATCATAACTTGCTGCATGCTAACAGGCAGAGTTCACTTGTAGGTTATTGTGAGCTGATAAAGGGTTAGATGGAGTTTTGATTTTCGCATTGGACCTTGGTACACCAGATTAATGGAATTTCAATGAGAGACTAGAGTAGCCACAGCTTTGTCAGAGAAACAGATGGGGATTCTATAGTCATGTCTACTCATTAATACTAGTTCCCTGAAAGGTGTACTGCTTCTCTATACAAAAGAGTTGATATAATTGATTTTTGAGTGGTACATTGAAAAAAAAAAGCACCTTATTGATGACTAGAATTGTAACATAAATAGTGACAGATTTTTGTGTAGCTGGTAACATAAAAATGTACTTTGTAATTTTTTTTTTCTTTCTCTTTGGAAACAGTTTTTTTTTTTTTTAAAGAGAAATATAGTTTGAGACCAATAGCAGAAAAAGGAGAAAATGTCATGCTAAATAATCTTTTAAGAAAAAACATTAGGAATCTGTATTTTATTTATAAATGATTGCATGATTGCTGTCAGAGTTTCATTTTGATATGATAATGTTTAGAAGAATGCATACTTAATAGAAGTTTCATTTTATTAGCTTTATGTTCTATATTTTTGGAAAATTAAAAACAAATTATGGTGGTTTCCAGAGTATCACTATTAGAAGTTTTATGTTTTTTGTGGCTGGAAATATATATACCAATAATCAGATAAAATTAGAGATAATGAAACTTAACACCTCATAGAAGAATAGCTCTTATTGTGCATGTGTTGCAATGCTTGGGCACTAAGGTGGTAGATGTAGGGTAGCTGTTTGACACTGTATAATGACTTGGGTTTCCATTTTTCTATTCCAAAATCATTTTTCATTTTTTCGTCATTTGTGAAAGAAAGCTCTAACCATATAGCATTGCAGAAAGTCCCTGAGGTAAGGTGAAAGGATTCCGTGAGCTAGAAGACATATATTGGTTCTGCTCGTCAATGATAGGTCGAAGGATCCCAGTGGACATTTGTTACAAATCGGATTCAGTCCTAGACCATAATCACTTTGTGGATAAGAATCTGGAACCTCTAGGGTATGAATATAGGAAGGCTAAAATGAAACTGAAGATATAGAAGAGTCATTTATTGTACTTGAATCTTCCTAGCTAAAAATTCCCAAATAAAATAGGTTACTGAGAGCTGTGGGCATTGGTAAAGATGTAGGTTTATATGAAATCATATTTATTTAGGAATGGAACAATTTTTTTAAGGTTTGGGGATTAAGAAAAAGGTTAATCTATTCTGAAAAGAATTTTTAATATTAAATATTTTTTTCTTTTTTGGTGTATCTTCATTTAAGAAACTCCAGTTATAAAAATTTGGATGTATAAAACATGTGAATCACTTATCCGAAAGATTGCATAAAAAAGGATTAGTTCTCAGATGCCTATAATGCGTCTAAAGCAGGTTTACACATATCCACACACATGAATTTAATGTATGAAACTTTTGAGGAAGATTTTCTTTTTGTGTGGAAAATTAGGTATAGTACTAATGAGTTCTGTAAAAGCCAAGCAATAGACATTTTTACTTTTCTGTGTCACTAGAATATGAAACCATATTTACAATTAGAAAAAAAAATTCTTTCAATAACTTGCAATTTAGGGTACATGTTTTTCTAGGACACTATCATGTGGCTTTTGATATTTAAAATTATAATTTTGTATTTTATTCTGAAAGTTTATTGAATTATTATTTACTATTATTTTTGTGGTGCTGGGGATTGAACTCAGGACTTTGAGCATGCTAGGTAGGTAGTCTACCATTGAGCTATAACACCATCCCCCTGAGAATTTAAATTAGTTTCTAACTTGAACATATTTTGTATATATAACTTATATTAATATTACACTTATGTTTTAAATTTTTTTGGTTATTGCACTATATAAATTTTTTTTGACGGGACTGGGGTTTGAACTCAGGACTTAGAAAAGGATTATTTTAGTCATTTCTTTCTCCTTTTTTTCTTTTTTCCTGAGATAGGGTCTCAATATCAATATGTAACCTAAGCTGGCCTTAAACTCAAGATCTTTCATTTTTTTTTTTTTGGTACTTGTGGCGTTTGAACTCAGGGCTTTACACTTGCTGGGCAGGTGATCTACCACTTGAACCACTCTGCCAGCCCCTCAAGATCTTTCTGTCTCGGCCTCCCTTTTGCTAGGATTATAGGTGTGTATCACCATGCCTGATTTATTTTAGTCATTTCTGATATGTGTGTGTCACAATTTGAAGTACTGTGACAGAAGAGAGAGGAATTATAATTTTGGGAAAAGATAAAAAGTAGAGGACATATTTTTAACCTAATGATATATATGGTGTGATTGGAGATAGAAAGATGTGAAATATTTTATGGCATAAAGATACAAATGAGTATATAAAAACTCATAGCCATTAAGAATCATCTTTCTAAGTTTTTATGCTACCAAATTGGAAAATACATGAGAATAAAACAAAGCATGCAAATAAGACTAGAACAAAATAGGTTGGGTAAGAAAGATTACAAAGGTAATAAAACTCAACATTGTGAAAAATAGTGTATCTTTACTAAGTAAGCAGTTATTAACATAGTATGTAAGGAAGGAGCAAGATACCTGGATAGGGCAATGAGGGACTCAAAGGTGCATATGATAAAGTTATTATTTTCAAAAATATATAATTGAAATAGAAGAGAAGATAATCACCTAAAGTAATTATTAGATTCCAAAAATAATAAGCACTATGTTAATAATATTCATTGATTTGATCTCTACCAAGGCAAATAATTGGTTTCATTGATTTTACTCTCTTAACTTGTTAGCTGAATTAGTCCTGTATTTTTAGTATCATGGTAAATAATCCAAAGCATAAACTTTATTCCTAAATGATGAGCAGTGTAAATTATAGAGGGAGACCTTTTATTTAAATGAATTTTGTGTGGGTCTTAAAGCTTGTTGGAAAGAATGGGAAAAGATGCTGAAAAGAACATTTGGAATAGAAGTCCAGAAACCGGGTTTTCATATTCTGGTATTAATTTCATGGTCAAGGACAAGTCACTTAGCATTTCTAGATTTTTATTTTCTAGTTCGTGCAATGAAATGTTTGTGTCTAATCAACACATAGAAGTTCCTTAGAGCACTAAATGCTTTTGTTCATATTTCAAAATTTAATGGTAGCAGTAAGGTGATTTTCCTGGAGAAAACAGGCACATAGAATACCATGGATTGTAGATTTAATTATAGAGGGGGACCTTTAACTTGTCGAATGCCTTCACTGTCCATAATCCCATCGCTCAGGAGCAGAAGCAGGAGGATAATGAGAGTGAGGCCAGCCTGGGCTACATAGTGATTCTAGGCTATCCTGGGTTATATTGTGAGATATTGTCCCCCAAAGCAAAGAAAATAAGCTTTATTAGTAATAACCAGAAGTTAGG